AAAATATAATTTATTTGAGGTATATTTATAATGTGGTGTAATAAATAATATTTGTAGTGATGATATAATTACCATTAATCGGATTTGACTCTTGATATTGTTTAGTGCTATAGATAATCTAAATATAACTGGAAGTAGGTTTAATTTCTCCTTCCGAAAGTGTTGGTATATCTATAATATATTCAATATCGCATCAAGTTAGAATCATTTTTTGGATGATTCTAAATCTACTATAATTTATTTATTTATTTTAACAATACATTATTTTTCGTTTTTCAATATTTATTTAACAATTTAGTTACCATCAATGTACATGTACATTTGATAGATTCATTACACATGTGTGCTTTCATTAATATATGAATTTCCTATTATTAATTCTTAATTAATTCATATTCACATTTATTTAATTAATATTCATCTTCATTTATATATTTCAGTGTTATTAATTCTAATTATAAGTTAATTTGAATTTCATATTCAATATTCACGTCAATGTATGCTAATTAATATCCATTTTTATTTAATTGAAAATTTAATAAATAATTTAACATTTATTGTGACATATATATTTCCTGGTATTAATTCTAAATTAATTAAAATTCACGCATATTCAAATATTATTTTTACAACACTTATAAGCATTTTATAATAATGTGCAACGCACATTCAATATTGACTACTATATATAAGAGCATGAATAACGTTCAAAACACTTATTGTAAAATGTCATTACATGAGAATATTGATTCGTGCTGGCTTTGAGAAAGCTTCATTTCACCCACCAAACAGAGATATCTATTCAAGAAAAATGGAGTGGAAGGTAGAAGCAACCAATACAAGATCTACAAGATTCTTCTCAAAACCTGAAAATTGTTTTATTTTTTATTTTTTTGTATTTTACTTATACCCAATTATATTTGTCGAAAATACTTGTTTTTACAAAATATTTCATCTTCGCATCAATTTTATTCCTTCAAAACCCCTAAAACCCCACCCCCACCTACCATGGGTTCGTCCGTGGCAATTTCTCTACCTTCTTCTTGTTGAGATTTTGACTCAGTATTATCCAATTAAAATATGATTGTTTTTGTCTATCCAACATAAAAGATGATTTTTAATTGCCTACTTGTAATGAAATTGTTTAGAATCCTAAATTGGAGAGGAAAGTAAACCCCTCCTTTTATCTTCCAATATAGGACTCTCCCTTTAATATTTTTATTTATCCCAATTCATGAGATAGTTATGGGCTATGATGCTCGGACTCGAGTTTGGGTATCGGGTACAGGTTTGTATCTATGTATTGGATGTTTCATTTTCTAAAATGTATAATATGAGAATATAACTAAAAAGAGTTCAAATTTCCTTAATATGATTTTTTTGTCAACCTTATTAATCTATCAACATTATTAATATGAATTTCTTGTCAACCTCATTAACATAAAAACGTTAGTTGCAACGAAAACAATAACTCATTTAACTAAAATCACAAAAATTGGGTAACATCTAGAAGATATAAACCCGTGTCCTGGTAGAGTACCAGCACCCATGTAGTGTCATGTTGGCACAGATACTCCGACCATTTCAAAGAATCCGAGCATCACTAATTATGGGCTCTCTTGTGAACATGACTAGGGATCTTTTGTAGTCTTATCAGTATATACTAAGTGGATTTTTTTTAGTACGTAGGTTCTTGGGTGCACTTGAAGGTTTGGGTGTCTAGAGAATTACTGTGTGATTATAATAATTTTTCACATAGTGAAATTTCTTTGACAACTCGTGGGTTTTCTCCAATTTTGAAGTTTTTAATTTAATTTTTTGTTTTGTTTCAGTCAACATTTTATCCTGCCTTCTTAATATCTCCCTGAAATAAGATCTTGTAGGCAAATTAAAAAATTGGTCTAGATTATCAAGAAAGGTATATGATCTTCAAGTCGTTCGAAGACTTGTAAGATAATAGAGTAGATATGAAGGGTATCAAATGCAATGCAGAGAGAGATGAAGGGCGATGAATTTTGACTTTTCAAGTACAAGTCAAATACGTTATGATTCGTTCCAGCTTGCACAAGAATTTGAAAATAAAATTAAAAATAATAATAATAATCTTGTTTAATTTCGATGGAATCGAGAAATGTTACCCAGAAAACATTATTGCACCATTTAAGCTACCAGCACATACTGCATCATTCAAGATATCAGCACATGTGACTGCACCAATCAAGCCCAATAGATCATTGTAATCAATCTTTCCATGTACATCAGTATTTCTATTCTACATACAAGTAATGCTACAGTTACACACTTGGTTCACACTCACTTTCACATTCCTCTCACATAGGGGGTGGCTATGTGAGAGGGTGCCCCCCATGTGAGAAGGATGTGAAAGTGAATGTGAATCAAGGTGTGTACATTTAGCATTTTTGTCTACATAGATGCAGCAACTTAGACTGCTTCTATTTGATTGGTATAATTTATCATTGTAAGCAATGAGAGAATTTTTCAATTTAGTGTAGATTGTTCGATACTTACTCTCGAATTCATGAACTTTATTTACCAAATTCTCGGTATTCGTAGAATCAATGGCTCTTTGTAGGTGTTCTTCGTTTCTTATACTCCCCCTACGTCAGTTTAAATCTTGAAGATAATGAAAGGTCATTGGTATTTTTAAAATTTTGTTATTCTTTTCTTGGCACACAATGCTATAACAAAACCACGTGTAATGCACATGTCCTTGACTAGTTCTACAATAAGCATGACATAAAGAAGACAACTTCAATATTTGATTCAAACACTAAGCAGTATTTCTTTCGAAAAAATAACCAGCAAATAACACTGAATTATTGCATGTGATTCGATGAATCCAAAGTAGCAACTAAAGAAACTCACATTACCATCTCTATAGAAACAAAGATGGATTACACGTAGGGGACGTGGCGGCGCACCTCATAGCTTACAACGAGAGTGAGAGAAGAATTATAGAAGAAAATAAAAACGAGGAGGTACTACACATTTAAATTGAAAACGATATTGCCTCAACATACCTAAGAAAACTTGTGAAAAATTTAATCACTATTTTGGTAAAGCACAACACCACAGCAGTTCGAAAATAATGGCTTATTTATTTATTTTTAGGAAGTGATACTTTATATCCAACGGAGGCTCACAATTCTAATCCCGATCCACTGAACTTTTGTTCGGTAATCTGATCCAACTTCTGAGCCATCTCGGCTGGCAGATGATTCTTCCAATCTCCAACCTCGCCTCGACGGAAAAATGCTTTGTTTTCCTCACCAGATGACAGCTTCCCAGTCCTGTTGATTTCCAGGTTACTCAAAGTATCGAAACTGCATAGCTTTAAGATTTGTTCAGCCATTCCTGATTCTTCTTCCTCATTGGAAAATGGACACCCCAAGAACTCAGCAATGCATCTTAGATTATCCGTTGGGCGTTCTTTCATATTCTCGTACTTCAAGAAGAGTACCTGTTGAAAACAATAATTTGTCTATTTCCTCAGTGTAAACTTTTGGATGAGGGGGTTAAAGGTCACATCAGATTCAAAATCTCGCTACCACTCATTTAAACACATTTGTGCATGAATAAGGCATCGAGTGATAAAAGAAGAAAAATTCAACCTACAAATAAGTGTCAGTTGAAAACAATATTAATGAATAAATTTGCCGTCCGAAGTGGTTCAATAGTACCTTATGTGGCTTCTCTATGCTTTCTTTCCAATAATCTAACACATGGTCCCAAAAAGGTCCGTAAATAGAGACTCCTCTACAGAACATATCGAAGATGTCTCCAAGTGAGTTACTTCCCATTTCTTGAAGCCTTAACTTGTTAGTGAATTGCCAAAGGGACACAAAAATGTCCTTCGGGTTCCTACATAGATAAACAAGCTTGCATGAAGAATCTCGCACCAATTTCGGAAGGGAAAAAATCGGTATATGGGTTGCAAACAGCCTGGGAGAATTAAGGGAGGAAAGATCAGGGATTTGATTATCAACGTAGAGTTTAAGTTCCAAGAATGGCACAAGGTCATGTGGATTTTTGCAGAGTAAAGGGTGTTCTTGAGTAATGGGATATTGCGTTCGATTCATTAAGGTAAACATTATTGCCTTCAGCCAGGTAGTCCCAGATTTCGGAGTTGTAACAAGGAAAACATCAGAATCGCGAGCCTCGAAATGTTCTTGACAGGTCATGATCCCTTGAAGGTGCCTCGGTGGATTCCAAAAACCTTGGTATTTGTACAGATGAGAGGCAACCCATCCATTTTCTTTGGGTAGAGAGGAGATTAAGGTTTTACATTCTTGTTCGAGGATTTCTTCCTGCTGTAAATACCTGGGAAGTGATGCACAAGTTCCAGATACCATAATTCTGGAGAGAATTGTGTATTTTCAAGTATTCCTCACATGCACTACAAAAGATTGGGGATTCATGGAGTGTAGCGTCGAATTTTATAACAGCATCTGAACGTCCAATCTTCTGAGAAAATATAAATTTGTCCAGGAGAAAATTTTACATAAAAAAAAAAAAAAAAGAGGTTTCATTCAAGGGCGGACCAAGAACATTTTTCTTGTGGGGTCAAAAATGAGAATTCAAAAATGTTTAGGTAATAAAAAAAAAAACTCAATAGGAAAACTCCAAAAAATAAAAAAAATAAAAAAATAACAAAGTGGGATCATTTGACCGCACATGATCCCATGTGGATCCGCCAGTGGTTTCATTTATAACAACTTAAGGGACGTTTGGTTTGTTGTTTTCATTTTTGTAAAATGTCCAATTCTTGTTCCGTTTTGAGAATGCATGAAAACAAGATCAAATTTAAAACGTAAAACTCAAAATACATTTTTAACATTTTGAGTATTTTCAGTGGACAATAAAAGTAATACAATCCCCCTCACTTGATTATGGATGATGAATATTTATTGAAGACTCTGATGAGACTCTCGTAGAACTTTTCATATAGAAAATCTATTTGCAATCAGCGATCAACCCTAATGTTTCAAACTTAATTCTATTTGCTACCTACTTCATGAATTTTGTTTTATTTTGATCTTTTTATCCTAATCTTTAATATTGATCCCGAAACTTTCAAAAATGTCATTTTTGCTCTAAATACTTTGAGTCCGGGTTTTACTTACAATAACAATATTTACACTAGAGTAAGTAAAAAATTTGCTCAAATTTACAAATATAATAAAAAATTTATAAGTACAAATAAGCATGTAAAAATATATTTAGGATGTGTCTAGGTGCAATTTATTTCCAATGCCAATCAATTAATGGATCGTTGGTGCCTGGAAGATGGGTCCCAGTTTGCAGCAACATTTGACTTCCTCGCAATAAAATACCGAAAATGCCCGGTATCATGCAAAATGAGTTTTGAGTTAATGGCAAAAAGGTCATTTTGCCATAAAATTCTCAGAAAGTGTGCTGCCATGTCAGTGTATCTGCAAAATTGTTGAAAAGCAACGATCCATTTTCTCTTAAATCAACGGTCCAATTTTCAATTTTCAGTGCAGCCAGACACCCCCTTAACACTTTCTCCAACATCAGAAGAAGAAAGACAACAAGAAGATGATTTTTTAACTAGGGAATGCATGTACATGTGGAAAATGGAGTTGATTACTCATCGACTCATACATAATTTCGTAGATTTATTTTATTTTTTTAATTTTTTNGTTCTATTTTACTGAATAATTAAATAATTGAATAAAATATTTATTTTTCTATTTTCTATTTTCTATTTTGAGAAACACTTTTTATAATAATAAACTAAATGTGTTTTCTGTGATGTTAAAACAGACCCAAAAAATTTGAAAAGCCACGAATTCTGTTGACAGTTAAGAATTGTCTACACCGTATATGCATTGGGGAAGATTTGATACAATGTATCATGAAGGGAAGCTCGAATAGCTTACATGCTTTGACTCTTTAACAATAGCCTAGCTGACTACGAATTCTTCTTGAACGATTATCTTGAATTCGATAATTTTCGTAAAAAATGAAATTTGACATTATCGAAATTGCTCAGGTTGGTGAGTACTCTTCACTCAAAAATAACTAAGCTAGAGAGAAAAGGAAATACAGATAGAATAGATTTTCACGGATGGACAAAAATTCCACCAATCAATCGTATTAGTTGTATTCTTGAATTGGAATTGACCCACTTGTTCTTTTTCGTGGACCTAGGCCAACAATACGATGCCTAGGGCCTCATTATGTGCCTTCAATGATGACTCTTTGGCCTTCGCCTTGAGCTCCCTTCCTCCCATCCCCAAAAATCTAAAAGTCAAAGGGAAAGAAAAAAAAATATTAATAAAAAAGCCCTTCACCTGAAAAGGCGGAATAATGCTAGAAGTTACCAAGTAGATCCAAATTAATTTAAAACTTAAAACTAAAAATAGAAATGCAAATCAAACAGGACCTAAGATTTTCAATAAATCAGTTCAATATGATATATCCATGTTTATACCTTCGATGAAATGGAAATGGAACAGTATGTGGAGGGGTTTGTAGAATAATAAATGCCCTCTGTATGACAAATAAATGTTTGCTTAATTTGTGACAGGTTTTTCAGATATGGTAATCTGCTAAAATTGACTTTACTCAAATTTTCAAGATAAAATAGTTTGTAATATATTCCATGATATCTTGGGAAAATCGGGAATCCAATGTTATTTCTTCTCATTTTCAAGCTGTAATTGCTTGCTAAAGTTGATAATGATTATAAAATAGTACTGCTTATCACAACTGGTCAGAAAGAAAAGTAATAATTAACAGATGCTGTTTTTGACTAATTGAGCTTTTTTTTTCAGCTTAATCAGTTTTATTTTCACGGGATATTGTTATGAAACAAACAAAATAACATAATCACTCTGATACCATTTGCTATGAAACAATCAAATTATTTTTTTTTAAAAGAAATATTATATATACCTAGATCGTTGTTAACAATGTCGAAAGTACAAGAATTATATATTGTTTGAATACCATTTGATGAAACCAACCACCGGAATGAATTATTGAAGTTATATAGCATATAACGAAGAATTAGATCAAAAATAAAAGAATAAAATAATACAAGAATATGACAGAAGAATTAAGAGATTTTATTGACTAAATAATAATAAAGAAAGTGAGAAAATTACAATAAATCCTATAATTCTAGTAATCATATATCTCACATTATAAAATTGTATTGAAGAATCTAGTATTTATAGGGAACATGTAAGGGACGTCCAAACCATTTTCGTAGAGTTATTGATGAAATAGAATACCAAAAAAAGAGTCCAAAACGAAATAGGAGAGAAAAATCGAAAAAACAGAACAGAGGCAGTGGTGCCTGGGCGCCTACGGCTGGCCTTGCTGTTGAAAAACAGCAAGCCAGCACCTAGGCGCTGGGTTACGGTCCAAAAATTTACAAAATATCTCCAATGATGTTCTTCTCCATTCCGAACTCTTCTT